CCACCCCTTCCTGCATGTTGTCCATTGATCTATACCAGGATATATATCAAAATATACCAGGAGTACGACGGTTTTCATCCCACTTTGAATAACCGTACCTTATAGGGAAAAGAGTGTGCCTTTTTTAATTCTTAAATTAGACCTATATATGTGTGTGTGTGTGTGTGTGTGTGTGTATGTATATATATATGTATGTCCAAACGCAGAAGTTGCAGCAAGCTACAGTAACACCAGAGGGAGATATTTTATTTCAAGCCAACATGAAAATAATCAAGGGAAGGTGTTTAAGCAGACATTATTATTAAACACAGTTACATATATATACATATTAGCCACCTATCTTAATCATTTCTTACAATTAACAACTCTGGAATATACTTCATATTATCTCCCCCTGCTGGTAATGCAACCTCTGCATGTGTTGCCATTTCACATTTTGGAGAGTCAAATCGTGAAATAGACTAGCATGTCTAGTTGTCTAGTAAACGCTTTGCTGTGATACTAGGTTGTACATATATATATATATATATATATATATAGTCTGGAGCATTCAAGTATGTGTTGACAGAAAACATATTAGCCATGATTACAAGGAATCAACTGTTTCTGCCCATCAGTCTGGGAAGGCCATTTCCAAACAATGTGATGTCCATGATTCTTAAGTGATCCAACATTAGACCACATAATGATCAGAGAAATTATAAAAAGCCAGATAGCTACAACAGTCCTCTGCTAGTATATTAAATACTAAAATTCATGATAGTACAACTGAAATTATCTCTCAAAACTGAACATGACAGCATGGCTTAGGTTGCAAAATTGCAACTGAAGAAGTCACAAAACTTCTGGAACAATGTCCTTTAGATAGACAGGACCAATGTGGAGATGGGATTGTGATAGTAGGCTCAAATGTGAAGCAGTCTCCCTAACAGCTTAACCTTAGGCAAAACTGGGTCATGCAACAGGACAATTAACCTAGGCACACCAGCAAATCTACATCAGAATGAAAAAAAAAATCCAGACCAAGTGTTTGTGGTGGGATGTCAAGAGACTTGTGCATAAGCAAATGTCCATTAACCTCAATGAACTGAAGCAACATTGTAAAGAAGAGTGGGCCAAAAGTGATGAAGAGTCATGAAGTCGTACATAAAGCAGTTACATCAAGTTATTCCTGTGGAAAATGGTTCTACAAGCTACTGAGTCACAGTGTATACTTTTAAAAAAAAAAAAATTTCCACACACTGCTTCTTTAACTTTGTTTTTAACAACTAAAAAATCACTCGGTGCAAGATGCCATGTACTGTAGTTCATCTAAGGTTGTATTTTATTTAATCTGGTAAAAACCAGATAATTGTGATTTTTTTTTCATGTATAACCTTAGAATTAAAGAGGGTATACTTCCCTTTGATTGTATAAACGTTTTTTGTTTTTTTTTTCTTTTGACAACATGTGGACAGGTTGCATGCAACTTTTTCCTTAAACCAGTGTTTCCCAACATTTTGGAGCCACGCCACATATTTCACATTATAAAAATCACACGGCACACCACCAAACAAAAATGTCACAGAAAGCACATTGATATTTTTCCGCGCACCAAATATAGGAAAATTTGCTCATCTGGGTAGGAATTTTTTCCAGGATCCAGGTCAGATTGACTACTTTTTCTTTTCAAATATTTCTCTATTGCTATTATGTGCTGCGTTGTCTCACTCACAGCATGATTATTATGTCATTTATTCTTCGTCTTCTACTATTTTACTGTCAGTTGGCAACCAATTTAATTAGAGCAGATAGTTGTATTGCCCTCTATTTGAAGAGAATGTAATTGTTCTGCCCGTTACTCAGGTGGAACCAGTTAATCATCCACGGCACACCTGATCATTTTTCACAGCACACCCATGTGCCGCGGCACAGTGGTTGGGAAACACTGCCTTAAACCCAAGTATGAACAGCACTTATTGGAGATGCATGATGTAGCGAAAAAAAATATTTCTTAAAGAAAGTCAACCAAATGCCAAATATGGGTACTCACATCAACTGCATCTGGTAAGAAGTTCCCATCAACATGAGGCATAAAGGGAAGACTTAATAGTGACGATTGAGTGAGAACCTCAAATTGCTTGGTTGAGACTTTTTGAGGATCAGCCTGCTGCAGACAAACTTCTAGACGAGCTGCAGGAGATGAGGGACAATCCACCAGTTTTGCCAGCATAAGAGACCTAAATATTGAAAAAGAATAAAATAAGGAAGAACTCATAGAACCAAACTTTTATTCAATGCAATATGATCTCACAGACAGTATGAAAGACAAATGTAGATTTTGGAACTGAATATTGAAGTCAAAAATCATGTTTTTTCTTTGTAGTAGATAAATATATATAACTGAATGAAAATATATCCCCACACACACACACACACACACACACACACACACACACACACACACACACACACACACACACACATTATTATTTATTTTTTACTGTGATCAAAGCCTTTCTTGACAAAAATAATATATGTTTTTATCTATTGCAAAGCCACAGTGTGTTCTTGTTAGTCTGTTAATCTGATTGCTAAGAATTGTTAAAATTAAACGTGTCAGTATACAGAAAGACTACTGTGTGTAAGTATCTTCAAATTTGGCAGATCCTTGTAAACTTAGCTGCAGCCTGGGACAACAGCCAAGCCCTCACTCTAGTAGGATATTTTTAACTGTGTGGGATCACCACAGCCATTGACCTGAAGCACAAAACTAAACACCTCGATACCTGGTTAGTATAAGACTGCAATGAAAAACACCATTTGTGTGCTAGCCAACACTTCAGAATTAGCTATAGCCACTGCTGTGTATTCTTTTTACACTAAACTCTGGAGGGTAGTATCAGAAATAATATCAGACTATCAGGATGTGTTAATATTTGTAAGTAATATCAGTTTCAATATTGGTATTGATAAAATCCTAACGGTACCTATATGGACAGAGGATGAATGGTAAAATGGTAAATGGCCTGTATTTATATAGCACTTTACTAGTCCCTAAGGACCCCAAAGCGCTTTACATATCCAGTCATCCACCCATTCACACACTGGTGATGGCAAGCTACGTTGTAGCCACAGCCACCCTGGGGCGCACTGACAGAGGCGAGGCTGCCGGACACCGGCGCCACCGGGCCCCCTGACCACCACCAGTAGGCAACGGGTGAAGTGTCTTGCCCAAGGACACAACGACCGAGACTGACCAAGCTGGGGCTCGAACCGGCAACCTTCCGATTACAAGGAGAACTCCTAACTCTTGAGCCACGATCGCCCCGTGAATGAGAATGTCAACCTATTGTTGGAGCTAAAGGCAAAGTCATCAGGTTTCAGCCTCTGGAAATCTTTAGACTTTTTAATACACTTGTCATTTTGTCAGTCTAGATACAAGGGTTAAGTCAACCAACTTGGCTCAAGACAAAGATGATAAAAAAATGTACACTACCTGTCCCAGGCCTCAGTCTGACTAATTGTGCCCCAGTATGCATTGGGGGAGCCACTCTGCATCACAGCCCTTTGAAAAAGATCCTGGCTGCCCGGCGAGAGCAGCTGGAAGCCAACAGATGCAGACCCAGCACTTTCTCCGAACAGAGTAACCTGGAAACAATGCCAAATTAAAATTGTTTCAACATGTGAAAAACCTTTCTAGAATTAAGTCATTTACCTTAGAAGGATCACCACCAAAAGCTGCAATATTTTTTGCAACCCATTTAAGAGCCAGGCGTTGGTCCAAAAGGCCTGCATTACCCTGGATATTTGTGTTGTCGGGAAGAGACAGGAAACCAAACGCTCCCAATCTGTTATTGATGACCACAACAATAAGGCATACTGACAATGTATGACTGAAGCTAAATCACAATATTGCTTACTCTTATTATTCTAAAAAGAATATCACCCAGATTTGTCATACTCAATTTTATTTTCTTGTATAAAAGTGTAGAGTTTCTAGTTACATATAATAACTATATTTAATTACTATTAGTATTTATTACCTCTTACCTGTAATTCATTGATACCACAACAACACTTTCAGATTTACTCAGGAAACGGCCGTCGTAAATGTCCAATGACGATGTTCCTGAGATGAACCCACCACCATGAATCCAGACAAAGACAGGGGCAAGTGGTGCAGGCTGCGTTTTGTTGAAACGTGGCGACCAGACATTGAGGTACAGACAGTCCTCACTCAGAGGAGTGTTTGGGTTCCACATTTCTACACCTTTGAACCCTGGAAAGAATTTTGTTAGATAACAGCAGTAGTATAATTATATAATTTTAAAGAGCCTGATTGGGACAACATTACTGCAATCTACAAGTTCAAATTAATTTATTCATTGGTCCATTTCATTTTATTAGCTTGAAGAAAAATTAACTTGAATTTACCATTAATGTACTGTGTACAGTTGTATGGTTGTTTTTACCTAAAATGAGAATCACTGACAACAACCTGATAACAGTGAGTTAGGTTCATTTCTATCTCTGATGTCATATCTAAATTAAGTGAGTGTGCTTATTACATTGATATATGTCTGGTATCCATTGCAGTAGTTCAACAATCTCCGACAGGTGGCTTCATCTATAAATACAGCCAGCCCAACCGCAGTAATTCTCTTGAGTGAGGGGAAAGGCATTTGAAAACTTTGACTCGTGTATTCGTGTTAAGGAATATATGAAAGTGTAATGTGTAAGAGATACATTCTTTATCAGTCTAGAAAATAATAATACAAAAAAAAAATTGCTTAACATTTATGGGTCATGTCCAAGATTTACTTTTTGCAATTAAAAAAAGTGTTTATTTGGGAAAGGGAATGCATACACTACGAATGAGATCATGTTTCCTAACTGCCACTCCCCACTAAAGCATTACTCTGAAATGAATACAGTGCAAAAAAAAAACTCTGCATGACAAAACTGTCTGAGAGCAAAATACTACCCTTTATAAGCTAGTGTTTAGGTAACATAAAATGTTTTTTAAACAACAGTCTAAAGTGGATTGCAATCCTAACTCTGTCTCTCTCTAAAAAGAAAAAAAATGAAGATTCCTTATCAGTCAAACAAGTGATGAATTAGTGCTATCAGGTATGATAAATATTTTTGCAGGTTTTATTTTTAAACAAATTATAAAATAATATTATTAATTTATTTATAGTAATGTAATTCTCTGCTTATTGTTTAGATAAAACATCGGTACATAACATATAAATAACAGCAATGTGAAATATGTTGAAAATATTTATTTAATACTATGTTTGGATTTTGTTTAGTCCTTTGAATATTTCATATTATGTAGTGGCTATATGTATGTAAGTGTACAGATATGCACTATCCATTGCACAGTCTGTGCATGCATTGTGCCCAGTTGTGTTAATGTGAGTCCTACCAGGAAAGGCTGTATCAGGCATCTGGTAGCAGGAATTTGGAAAGTTGGTAGCATCCTTCACACCATCCCATTTCTCTACTGGCTCTGGCGCTCTGAATCTTAATTTCCCAACAGGTGGTTTTCCATAGGGAATTCCAAGAAAGGCTCTAACATCCGAACCCAGCACAGAAAGCAATTTCCCTTGAATTTTCCCATCGCTTGTACTGATCATAAGGTCATCTTGAGTGCCAAGTGATAATGTCAGAAAATTAAGCAATATAACAAGAAGTACACACTGAGAGTTTGCAGCCATGGAAAATCCTGAGGATAGAAAAATAAAGGCATATTACACTACAATATGGCCCTAACTTTAACTTTTTAAGTGCAATAAGCATTGTAGTATAAGTAAGACTTTGTAGACACTAAAAAAACCAAAAAAAACACATGCAGATAAACACACCAGCATTCCGGATACTATTGAAGCATGCCTTTGTTAACTAAAATAGCTTGTCTTCAGGTCATAGAAAGTTTAGGGTGGGTCGATGTGTGTGGATATATTGCGCAGAGACCGTGGGTGTGTATGTGCGTGTGCATGTGTGTGTGTGCGCGCGCACGTGTGTGAAAGAGAGAGAGAAAGAGAGGGAGAGCGAGAGAGGGGATCATTCCCGCTATCAGAGTGTCACTTTAAAAGTATCTTTAATCCTCGGATATTCACAAATACTGAAGCTGTTGGCGAGTATAAAAAGTGCAAGTAACTGCACGCACGCAGATCACGTGTGAAGCCGCCTTACTTTGAAAAGGCACAGACTAATCGAGGTTAGAGTGAAAATCGCGCAAGGCTGGTTCGATGCGCGCAATGGGGACACAAGCGCTCATGCAGAGATTATTATAAATGACTGCAAGAATTAAATCCGCCAGTTCCAGTTTATAAAAGCTTTAGTGATGTCTTACCTTGTCAGCTAGCAGTTTGTGTCTGTCTGGAGTGAGTGAGGAGGGCACGGTACTGTTAGGATGAAAACATGGACAACCTCTGTCCAGTGATCCCTGGGCCGGCCCAGTGCACCACCCACTACTACTGCTGCTTGTACTACTTGTATTTTATATAATACAACACAATATTACCTGTCCCTGAATACAATTAATAATAGTAAAAGACAAAAACATTGCCATCCATATTATGAATGATAATAAAGACTGAGTGAAGAGCAAAATTTCGTGAATAAAGTCTTCAGTTTTATTATCTTTACAATACATTTTCTTGAAGAGGAAAAGGAAAGTTTGATTTGCAGTATTATGATTGTAACGATTTGTGAGTGCTGGTGTGATATTAATGTATAAAATGCACTCTTGCTGTAGCATTGTTTTTTTTTATTTATTAATGATTTACAACAATGTATTTACACACACACACACACACACACACACACACACACACACACACACACACACACACACACATATAAATATATGTATATATTTATATATGTATATATATATATGTGTGTGTGTGTATATATATATATATGGGCTGTTTCTTTTCATAATGACACATCCCTTTATTTATATCACAATCAGAATCTTTGTATTGTCATGAAACTACAGATGTTCAACAAGATTAGAAGCAACTCCCTGCTAGCAGCATTTAGAATAAATAGCAAAACACAAATAAATAGCTAGAAAAGAAACCCAAATAAAATGTAACTGACAAATATACAAAACTAAAGAAACATCGGTTTACAATGTAAGGTTGCTCTGAAACACTCTCTTTCTCAAGGTTAATACAATAATGCATGCAGAAAATGGATCTAAGAAACTGTAAATAAGAAAATTAATGCATAATTAAACCTGGAATGCATTTTTGTGTAAATGTAAACTCTTGGATGTATTGAATGCACTAAAAATGAAATTAAGGAATTGTCTTTTATGACTGTTATATTACTGCTTTAAAAAAAAGAAAAGAAAACAAATATATCTGCAATTGTTAACAAACCTGAATTAGGTATGGTGCCAAGCATAACCCAGAAGGAAATCCAACCCTGATAATTATCATTCTGGACATGGATAATTTTTTTTTTTTTAATGAACTCCATGGAAACTTAATTTGATCATTCTATGTAGTCACGCAGAGCCTCCTTAATTCTCATTATACCACTTCCTGTGTCTGTTCCTTGTTTCTTTCTCACACTGCTGTCTGCTTATTATACCTGTCATTTCTTTCTTTCTTTTTTTTTGGGGGGGGGGGCATCTTTGCTTTTCTTTCCCACTCCCATGGTCAAAGCTAGAGAGAAATCTAAACCCCTTTGGAACTGTTAATAGTGTGTAGTTTGAGCATATGTTTGTGTGTGAGTGTGTGTGTGTATGGTTTCATGTTATTTATAGCATGTTATGTGCAGTTGGATTAACAATAAACAAAGGCTTACTGGGACTCTGATGCAATGTCTTGGCACAACAGACTGAGGCACAGACACAGGCCGCATCTGTGTATGTCAACCTGATTAATAATGCGTTCCCTATCATGGTGCATACTGAAGATTGAAGTTAATTTTAGACATGGAAACATTCAACCCTATACCCTAGGCAAGGATTTGTTTCCTTTTTGTGTCTCTCCATCAGTCTACCACTCACTTTTAAAGCCTCTTGCTCTTTCAGTATGCCAACCAGCTGTAGTCATGGACATCAGCTTAGGAGAAAGGGAGCCATGGGAGTTCTGGCTTTTTAGAGTTATGTACAACTCAGCAGGAGGGTTTGATAGATATGCGGACAGTGACAGAAAAATGCAGAAAAATGAAGCAGAACCATTTGTTTTAGAAACCGCACAGCAGTATTCACTACAAATGCATATTTAATCAAGAATTAGGTTACCAGGATCCAAGTGAGCATCTGGTGTTTTTCCACTGCCTTCCTGTGTTTAGCTCCGTCCACCTTCTTGACAAAACCCTGGTTCCTCACCTGTCATCCACTCACAATGTTCAGCAAGGCTGTATTTACGATCAGTGCAGTCATCTATTCCAGTTTGTCAGCTGCCGCATGGTGGTAACCAGGCCTCATTGCTTCTTGTTTACATGTTCATACTCTGTACTTACCTCAGTCTCCTTGTGTCTCCAGTTTCCTCATCAAGTCACCGCTTCACTCCCCTGCAGCTTAATTACCTGGATGCTGGTCTCCTTGTCAAGATTCTCTGCACCTTTCTGCAACCCATTTGGTTGGAACCGCATTCACTCACTCACCTCTTGGACGCTCACTGGGTTGCCCTCCCCAAAGCCTCACAACCTCTGCCTGCAAGTAAGCCCACAGAATCAATATTCCTCTCTCCTCCACTCATTAAGTCCTCACTCTCAGAACCTAACCAAACTCTCCCTCTGTTCTAGTGCCTCCACGTCAGAGACTCAACACTGCGTATCCTCTTGTTGTCATTTCCAGTTTCTGTTTTCACAGTGAAGCTTGTTAAAATCTTAACGCTGTTCCATTAGGTTTCCACATTTGAGTCCCCTCCCACGTACTGGCCTCCGGGCCCCCTTGACATAGGTGTGTAAAGGAAGAAATGGAAGATATTTGATAGGACCCTTTGAGTAAATGTTTTCTTTCTCTCATTCCAGTATCATCAAAATAAGCCTGCAGACTGAAATGGAAACCCCACCCGACCTCAAACACACAAGTTAATTTCAGCCGTGCCCCTTTAATGTCAGTCTTCTGTTATGAAGCCAGGGATAAGCAGCAAAAAATAAAATAAATAAATAAATTAAAATTAAAAAGAAACAGAAAAAACCCTATTAAATTCATTTCTGTGTGAAAGCTTGGAGCAAAGAGATATAATAATAATATCCAATCACAGTGTCATAGAGAAGGATATTAGTTTATGCCATGCTCTCTGTATCTGTTTCTGTTTTATTTGAATTTGAGCTGTGTGTGTGCGCGCGCAAGCATGTGTACTGAACATGTGTACTGAAATATTGAAAGTGGAGCTGAGGTACTTTACTCTTGCACTTGGTGATTGTGACGACCCTCTGCACCTTACCTTCCTATCTGTCTGTTTGTTAGGCTGCTGTGTCTTGCAGATCCTGCAGAGGAGGTGAAATCTGTGCAAAATCAGCAGTGGTGCTCAGTGTGGCAGTGCTCCATAAAAACACCTTAGAATCCTTTGGATTTTTCTTTTGGATTTTTGATTTTAGTTGCAGTTTGGTTTGTTTTCTTGCACAAAATCACTGTATTCATCACACTTTCATTCACTCACTCACTTACATCATCGGTGTGGTGTATAGCTCACTGGAATGGGCAAGCAATCCAGGTTCTGAAAGGCTGCAGCAGCCTGGGTTTGGTTTCATCCCAGACTATTTCCTGCATCATTCTCTCTCTCTCCTGTCTGTTCTCTGTGTTTGCTGTCTATTAACTCATTCACTGCCAGCCATTGGCAGTGAATGAGTTAAACCCATTGACTCATTCACTGCAATTGACGGCTATAGACGTCAATGGCAGTGAATGAGTTAATAATAGCTAAACATGGCAAAATAGGACTTCATTGGGTAATTGGTATTAATGCATTGTCAAACATGCAGCCTGCTTGGCAGCAAGTGTCTTTAAACAGCATGACAATGATATTTAATGAAATAAATCACATAAAATATCCCACTTAAGGCAGACAAAAGTTACAGCTTTTAAATTTTAGATTTAAACTAGATTTAAACTAGGGCTCGCTCGGGCCAGGCTCCAGGCCCCGATAAGCGGCCGCCAAGGAGTGAGCCGGTGTGTACCTGGACGCCCA